CCAACAACAAATAATAACCAAACATCAAGACAAGGTAGAGAATCACTACAGAATGTGCCAATGAATGTTTGCCGCCATCGATAACGAGTCACTGATGCTACAGTGGGGATACATGCTGAGGCACTCTCAGGGGTTTTATAAGGGACAAAAATGATGCATGCCATAATTTCGGTGAAAATTAATTTGTTTATTATTCTGGATATCAATGAGAAAAGGAAAATTTCATGAAAGTTTCGTTGTACTAAAACATGACTGTTTGCAGGGCGGAAATAATAGACGTAAAACAGGCGAATTCGGGGAGGACGGGCACTATCGACGAATACACAAACGAATAAAGCCGCTAGTTGTTCGGTAATCAACAACAGATGCGGTGCAGCTCATACATAAAGAAATGTCGCTCACCTACTATGCTTCGCTTTTATAAGCCGCAGAACGTCTGCCCATCGGGCATCGATTTCTTCCATGCGATTACTGACGTACTCCTTGACGCTCGGTTTGCAAATCGACTTCAGTTCATTCGAGCACGTTTCCATTTGCTTCATTTTCGCTTCCAGCACTACTGTGTCGTTGATCAAGCCCTGTGAAACAACTGGCTGAATGTAGAATATCTTCGTGTGACGCAAACGCCCAAAAAACAGCAACAATGTTAGAAAAAAACAAGGCAGCGAAACGACGCTGCAGCTATACCACCGTAAAGGGACAGCACAAGTTACAAGCATGATGTGTTTAAAACAAGGACGTACAAAATGGCTCAACTGTAAGCGAATATTGTTGGCAACTACGATGGCACCGTGGCAGCATAATGCTTTTGTTCAAAACCTAGCCACGCGACACAGCATGGCGGTTTGGCTGCGGTTAATTATGCTACGCATGGAAAATCGACCAATCATAGCGAAGGAGTGCCTCTTTCAGTTAAGGAGTGACCTTCGGCTTTTGGTGCACAAAACACCAAGGCTAAGCCTAAGCCTAAACATATTCTAAGCCAGTAACTGAAATTTACTCAGGCATTATTCACAAATTTTTGTCTTGCGATTGATTCTGCTGTGCTGATTTTGACAATTAACCCACACCCTCAACAAAATTGCAAGCCTTGATTTTGTCGACACGCTTCCTTACTGACACAGAGAATAGTACAAATAATCGGTCGAACAACTGGTCTGCTCTTATCATCACATGTTCAAACATCCACATATTCTTTGGCATTTCGCTGCCTTAAACTATGAATCAGCGTATCGGCTGCACAAACTATGAACCTAGAATCGAAAATATTCGCAGTCCGTTCAATGTAACGAGCCGATGAAGAATGAAAGAGAGAGGAATGGAGAAGGAAAAGACACAAAAAAGGTTTGAACTTTTCTAGATGTAAACAAAGTTATAGCACTGCTCACTTGCATGCAAAAGTCTCTGAGACCACTGGTACAGACCAGGACACCATGGCAACATTAGCGCCTGCAATGTTCGCTGATTTATATACTCATGGAAAAAATATTTTACTGATCAGTAGAAGCAAGGATGAGGTGTAATTGACGTCATGAACAACAATTACGTGATCCTTCTTGGTAATTAACGGGTATCACCACGGACTTGCCTCGATGTTCACGCTCGTCTGTCTCGTGTGATTTGCCGCAACAAGCTACCATCCCTCCCTTTAGCTCACCTCCTATCTGAGCCGAAACCCTCCAACTGGACGTTTGAAGCCCTTCGAGCACAAATTTGTCACTGCTGAAGTTCATCGGTCATTTGTCTGTCGTTTGTAATCGACCGCAGTCTGATTGGAGCTGTACGCAGAGGACTGCGAGCCGCTTTTGGTCTGTGCTTTATATTTCACTCGATCTTACTGAACAGTTTTGGATACTGGCGACGCTTACCAGGAGTCTTGAAAAAAACGTATGGCTGCCCTTTACATCGGCCCAAATGGAGTTCCAGATGACGGCTTCACCTGCTCCGAGTTTTCCTCAGTTTCTCCCATACACCACCCGGAGGTGCAATTACGCCATATAAATTCGGAGAAGTGATGGGCATTCACTGTTCTCACCGACAGTTGTGAAAACTGACTAACAGACGACGGTAACTCGCTCAACTTCAACTAAATTTCACCTAGATGATTATGTATGCAAATAAAGAGCAGAACTCTGTCAATTTACAATAACCACATGCTACTTATCACCGTTTGCTGCTACAACCTGTCTTTCATAATGTCTGACAAGATCGTAAGCCAATCCGCATAAGTTCGCTTGGCGACTAGTCGGTACGTGCGGTTCAGGCCCGCTGTTATTACTTCACCCTTGAATATATTTGGACATTATCTAATCGGCTTGCCCCCTAGACCTTTCTTGTATGGATACGATCTATGAAAAATGATCTTCACCACTTGTTTGTTGTCTCTTTGTCCTGCGGGGTTGAAGAGAGCAGTGTTTGTTTCGTGATTTCATCGGAGAAAAAACTGATACGAATCACTGTTTGACATATTCATTAAGGAAATGTTTTCTGTAGATTTCAACTAATTTAACTGTGATGTAGACGCGTTGGTAGCAGAGTGCTTTGTAACAACAAGGCTGCTCAACAACAAGTCTAGCGCTTTAGTTTCAATCCTGCAAACAGTCTCTGCTGTTGCAGCACACATCGGTATTGAACAAATAGCAGTCAGATAAGACGTTAATCAGTTTCGATAGATCATGCTACCGCCTGCTATAAGCCTTTTGGTTCTTCCTGGTTCTCTGTAAAACTTCTGGTTTATAACTTCGGTCGTTAATGATCACTGACTCAAGACAGCGGAATTTATTGACACACTGCATACCTTAAGAAAATAATTCAACTGGGTTATGTGCGCTGCGGCATACCATGAAATGAGGATGTTGCATTGCGATGGTCAAATTTTTCGTCTGTGCTTAGTACTAACGCCTTTACAACTTGCCGCTTGTTATGTCTGTAACAACGGAATCGTAGAAGCTCATTATGTTTTATAAACTTTGCGAAAATGGAGAAGTTGTAAGAACTGATTATTCTCACTCGCGGTAGTGAAAGTCGAATTTTGCTAATAAACCCATATTTCTATTAGGCAGTGACATCTACATAATCTATGGGTACAAGACCTAACATACCCAGTCGGTAGATAGTCGAAGTAAGAATGGAAAAGTCACGGGTTCGAACTCCCTTTGGTCCGGTCGCTCACCTTTCTAGCTTTTGAGTTTAATAAACCGGTCCCACTCTGTGCAAATGAAACAGAAGACAACACCCAATGCTTGCCGTATAACTGTCGACGTTGCCTTCAAAATGA